TCTAGCCCTCTTAATTTTTCTTTCTGTGATAACCCTTAAGATCAGTGCTCTTAGCAGAGTATTATTTACTATAGGCATTATGCTGTAGAGTGGATCTAAGATTTATTCATCATGCATAACTGAAACTACCCTTCAACAAATATCTTCCCACTTCCCCCTCCCACAGCCCCTGGCAACCAACAGTCTACTCTCTGCTTCTATTAGTTTGGCTTATTTTAGATTCCTCATATAATTGGAATCATGTAGTATTTGTTCTTCTGTATCTGGCTTATTTCACTGAGCATAATGTATTCCAAGTTCATCTGTGTTGTCCCAAATGGCAGGATTTCCTTAATTTTTAAGGCTGAATAATATTCTATCGTATGCATATACCATATTTTTGTTGTCCACTTGTCTGTCAGTAAACATTAAGTTGCTTCCAAGTCTTATCTCTTCAATACACTGATTTCAATTTCTTTGGATATATGGCCATTAGTGTGATTACTAGATCATATGGTAGTTCTATTTTTAACTTTTAAGGATCCTCCATACCATTTTCCATAGTTGCTGCACTAATTTACATTCCCACCTACAGTGTGTATTTTCTCCACATTCTGCCAACACTTATCTTTTGTTTTTTTTGATAATAGCCATCCAAACAGGAGTGAGCTAATATCTCATTGTGGTTTTGATTTGCATTTCCCTGAATATTAGTGATGTTGAACAAGCACATTTTCATATACCTGTTGACCATTTGTATGTGTTCTTTTGAGGAATGTCCATTCAAGTGCTTTGCTCATTTTTTTAAGTGGGTTGGGTTTTTATTTTTGTTTTGTTTCATTTTTGCTATTGACTTGTAAGAGTTCCTTATATATTTTTGGTATTAACTTCTTATCAGATATATAGTTTGTAAATATTCCCTCCCACTCTATAGATTTCTTGTTTATTATGTTGACTGCTTTCTTTGCTGTGCAGAAGCTGTTTGGCTTGATGTAATCCCACTTATTTATTTTTGATTTTTTTGCTTGTGCTTTTGGTGTTATAGCCAAGAAATCATTGCCAGGGCCTATCTCAAGAAATTTTCCCCATGTTTTCTTCTAGGAGTTTCATGGTTTCAGGTCTTAAGTTTAAATCTTTAATCCATTTCTGGTTGATTTTTGTGTATGCTGTAAAATAAGGGTCCAATCTTATTCTTCCGTATGTAGATATCCACTTTTCCCCAAAGTTATTTATTGACAAGATTATCCTTTCCCCATTATGTACTCTCTCACCCTTGTCAAAAATCAGTTGACCCATATATATGTGGGTGCGTTTCTGGGTTCTCTATTCTGTTCCATTGGTCTATATGTCTGCTTTTATAGCAGTAACATTGTGTTTTGATTACTGTAGCTTTGTAATATATTTTGAAGTCAGGAAATGTAATATCTCCAGCTTTTTTCTTGCTCAGTATTGCTTTGGTTATTCAGGGTTTTTTGTGGTTCCAGATGCATTTTAGGATTACCTTTTCTATTACTGTGAAAAATGCCATTGGGATTTTGATAGGGATTGCATCGAATGTGTAGATCACTTTGAATAGTATGGACATTTTGACAAAATTAATTCTTCCAATCCATGAACGTGGATTTCTTTCCCTTTCTTTGTTGTCTGCTTTAATTTCTTTCTTCAGTGTTTTATAGTTTTCAGTGTGCAAGTTTTTCACCTCCTTGGTTAAGTTTATTCCTAAGTATTAAATTTTTTTTGATGCTACTGTAGATGAGATTGTTTTCTTAATTTCCTTTTTTTTTTTTTTTTTTTGAGATAGAGTCTTGCTCTGTCCCTAGCGCTAAAGTACAGTGGCATCACCATAGGTCACTGCAACCTCAAATTTCTGGCCTCCAGTGATCCTCCTGCCTCAGCCTCCCTGGTAGCTGGGAGTATAGGCGCATGCCACCACGCCTGGCTAATTTTTCTATTTTTTGTAGAGACAGGATCTCGCTTTTGCTCAGGAAGTCTCGAACTCCTAAGGTCAAGCAGTCCTCCTGCCTCAGCCTACCAGAGTGCTAAGATTACAGGTGTGAGCCACTGTGCCCACCTTTCTTAATTTTCTTTTCAAATGGTTCATCGTTAGTGTACAGAAACACAAGTGATTTTCATCTGTCGATTTCATTTCCTGCAACTTTACTGAACTTATTTATTACAGTTTTTGGGTTGAGTTTTTAGGACTTTGTATATATTAAGATCATTTCCTCTGTAAACAGAGATAATTTTAATTCTTCCTTCCTGATTTG